AGGACTCGATATGCACCACCACATATGTTGTTTTGTAATAATTTTATGAATAGTCCCTCTCTCCAAACTTTATCAAAACATTTTTTTAAGTTTTTGTTTTTTGATTGGTATTTTTTGATCAGTGTATGTAATGTCAGTATATGATCATAACTGTTTTATTATGAGGGAAAACAGCATATTATAGACATTACCAGCAGCCTCTCAACACTGCTAGATATTACCAGTGGATTATGTTATTTCTTTGATTTTCTGGGGAAAGTAAATACATAAGAGCATAAATGTTTGATGATTGACAAGATTATAAAACTTAAATTATATGTTTATCGTAGAATTATCAAAAAGGTCAGCAAAACTAAAAACCTTTCAAAAATTAAATCAAAATCAGCAGATGAAATGGAACAAAAGTTTAAACTTCCCTAACTAGATGAAAGACGCAAATATGGAGAATGATAAATTTGCATTATCATTCAGTGTGCACTTGATAGAGTGACTGTGAAATTCATATAATATTAATGAGATTCAGTCATCATTACCAAATCACAACTTTGTTAGTTATAAAATACATCAATTTTAATTTCATTTTAGTATGTTCTACATGTGGTAAGTCTTTGAAATATGATCACAATGAAGCAAATAATAAAATTGCAAACAAATATTTAATGAATGTACATCACCTTAATTAATTCAATCCACAACACATCATTGACATTTTCAGACGTGGGAACTGTCTTTATATTAAGATGTTAGGTGTTCCAGTGTCCATTCTTTCATTTTTATTTTAGATGACCTGTAAAGAACGTACAAGTGAATTACATGATGAAATTAAAGAAAAATAATGAAAACAATATATTAGGAACATCTATGTAATTTAAACATTTTGGCCATTTAAAATGTATATATTTAACAAGAAGCTCAGTCTGAAGTTATGCAGAAATATCAAAAAAATAAGAGATACAACTAATGCAATGTTTGGTTTTTACACACTTCTAATATCTAGCTAATATAGTATCATTTTGTTTGAGTCAGTTATAATCATTCTATCTTATTGTGTAGTATTATTGATATAAACCATAAACTTATCTTTCGTTGTAATTGTAATAAATGTCATTTATTTTGTATGTTACTACTGTTTTGTTCATGCCGGCAAGCCATGAATTTGGAGAAGGCAATTTGTCTATATTGAATGGCAACTTTCCTAATTTCATTTCACAGCCAATGCATCTCATGTTATAGTTCACATTTGACAACTGTCTACAGGTGTCTTCAGAACATATCGTTCTGTTTCATTTTTGTCTAATCAACCGATATTTATGTTTATAGGCCGTTGCACTTGTTTACATTTAGCGAACGTACGTTTACACAGTGACTTGATTGGCAACCCGGAGTTCGACCAGTTTAATCAAAATATGGCAGACTGTTCTATTTTTCCGGATCAGCAGTCACGGTTGTCAAATACTTGTAAGATGTATTAGGTGTATCCATATTCCTGTGATTCAGAACCTCAGTATTGCTTGTAAACCAGTACATGACAGAAGCGAAACCTTATATGCCAGAGACCTCGATTTCACTAGTACGTAACTACGGACATTTTAAACACATAATGGCCAATACAAGACAATCGTTATACAATAAAAATGTGTGTTAGCCATTCTAAGCGTTGAGTATATACTGTTCATACGTACCACGCTGGTACTACCACCGATACGGATTTACGTGAATCTGACACAGACAACATTCAGAAAGTTCAGTTGCGTTTGTTTGTTCGTATTCCTTTTCTCAAATCTCTGTTTGACTCCCAGGTTCCACGCCACAATTATATTACATCTTGACACGTATTACAACGTAGAAAACTGTTAACATTAATTGTATTCAATAATATATAGGGGATGTGAAGAAATGCATTTCAGTTACCAGGGAGCTAATATATAAATAATAACCTTATTGACTTTATTCATTTTGAATAGAACATAGTCAAATGCCATGCTAAAATCAAACAAAATAATAATTTGGAAAGAATTAACGTTCTGTATACATTTCAGATATGATAAATACACATACAGATAGGCTATTTCAGAAATACCACTTTCGTTAATATAAACTGCAAGTTTTTTATGTGTTGCCTATAATATATAACTTTACGTCTAAAAAAATGAACTGTAAAGGTATTGACTTATTCGTGCATCTTTATGTTGTTCACAGTCAACCAGGAAGTGAAATTCATCCTCAACTTTATCAGCACCTCACCTTTCACAGAATCTTTCATCAACATTTGTTTTTGTTCTTGTATGCCGGCTTTACTCTGTCATCAGATTAGGATTCCTAATTCTGAGTTTGCATATATATTTTTTATAATTTGGGTATTATTAAGTTTTGTTAAGTATTGTTCTGTTTTAAATTATTTTTCAACAAATATTGAAGGTTCTTGTTTTATCATTGTCCCCGGATTTAGATTAATTTCACTTTTCCACAATTTGCTTCTATTAGAACTTTTTTAATGTATGCTATGCGTTGCCCCATTACAATAATCATCTATCTAATTTTGCCTAACTATTTTTTGCATGCGTTTTGCCCATAATACATAGAAAACAACCGTTACTACACTCGAATGAAAAAAAAAGACGCGTGTAAAATAAAATTGTTTATTTACATGAAATTCGAACACGCGCTGCGCTACGACCACCGCGCTTTAAAGCTAAAAATAAAATAAGCTGCTGCGTTTGGCAAGTAAGAGTTTCAGAAATGTAATAATATATACGTATGTAATATTCATGGAGCAATTGTGACTGGACTCTTTGTACGAGGTTGGGGCCACAGGGCCTGGCGATCTATTCGTGTCAATACATGGACGTCTATGGGGCGGAAAGACTGTGAGCCGGTACAGAACCTTACTCTTGCTCAAAATAATATAAATTATAGTTTGATAATGTAAAGCACGCATATGTCATTAAATTTAAATATCCACACTCCGAAACCCCCCAAATCGCTAGTACTTCAAATTGTTTCCGGTCGGTCAGTACAATGTATGTCCGGCCTGTGGTTGGAGCGACCACAGTCACTCTTCTAGTAGCTGCGGTTCCGTAGCTTTTTGGTGCGACCTACAATCGAATTTCGCCTTAACAATTTCATTTGGACGTCTTTTTTTTAATTTTGTTGTGTGGGCCGGCCAGAGTCAGTCACGTAAATAATGCGGTCGGCAACATAGAGCTATGATTCCACAGCTACTCTCCTAGTAGAGTCACTTTGGAGCGACTATAAAAATGGAAATACGGCTGAATTTGCTAGGGATTCAGCATATATCTATTAAAAGTATAGGGTATTAATAATGCTGCTGAAATAGCAAGGGGATCTAACCGGGTATTTTTGAGAACAGATGTTTAATTTACTAAGTTTTTTTATCACCATGTTCGTAAGTTCAAAGAGTCAAACTCTGTGTCAGGAGTTTCAGTTTGTGAATTTTTGAATAAAACTTCAAAAGGGGGCGTATCTAACTTTAAAAAGGGTACCACTCATGATCTTAAGGGAGAAGCCTAATCATAATTTTTGACAAAATTGGTCATAAATCGCATGACAATGTTCATTAGTTTATTTTGTACAATCATGAAGTTAATGTCTCATGGTACAATGAAATAGTGTTTTTTGTGTGTTACAGTTATACTTTTTGAGAAACATGTCCCAATATTTCTTAAAAATTGCTATTTTTAGAACAATTCCATAGAACATAATGTTAAAGAAAAATTACATATTTTGACACTTTTTAAAACACATATTCTTTTTAAATAATTCAGAACAACGAATGGTACTCCATCATTAACAATTTTCAGTTTATGTCACCAGGCTAGATTTTGAGATATTGCATAATATTTCTGCCATAGGAACCTGTGGTAAAAGTGTTATAATAGTGTAAAAATGGCGACTTTTCACTAAAATACAACCAACAATTTCTCGAAAAAAAGGCTGGTGACCCCCAACTTTTTTAGGTCAATATCCTTATATTGCCTTGAAGTACAATTTATTGCAAAATGAATAAATTCTGTTTTTTTTAAATTTATGAGTAGGCTTCTACCTTAATCAAATTTCCAACAAATCACTTAAATCCAATGACTACTTTTAAAGTTATTTTATCCCTTGGCATAGTTCCTCACTAGTTCATAAAACGGCTGATGCTGGCAATTACTGTTTTATTGCGCTTGACAGCAAACTTTCTTTGCTGGACATATTCCGATCTTAAAAATATAATTGATAAATATGTAAATAAAGTTTTGTTGACTTTAAATCTCATTTGATATAATATTGTTAATAATAATATTGTTAAGTTGCTTGGAGTGGGGGTACTAAGCGGTGTCTTTTGAAAACCTGTAAATCATTTATTCAGATGTTTAACTCTGACCTATGTGACTCTCCTCCATAATGAGTGTACGACAGAGAGGTGTACTACGCCCTCTACTCTACCTCAGCGCCTGATACATTTTATTCTAGCTGTTGCTATAAATAAACTTAAAACTTCTTTATGCGGTCGTTATGTATCAAATCGGCATTATTATTTTAACAATTCTAGTCTATGTTACGTTCTTTTTAAAATCAAATCTAATTTTGCTACAGAAAATTACTTAATCTGCAATCTAGCGTTTTCTAAGCGTTACAAAAGTTTACCGACGTACCCCGAATTTCTCTGAAAGTAGATTTTTTTTCAAACTGTAACTTGAATAGTTGAGAATGTAAAGCATTTCCGTCGCATTTCACGCCCTCTATTGTCAGAGGGACAAATCTTTTTATTGATAGTTAACAAAATAATGTATTGTGTCATATAACAAGAGATTTATAAATTAATTTCTGTTAACAATAATAGCTTTCAATTTTTCTATATAGTCTTTCATATTCATTTACGCATCTCGATACTTTGTAACATAAGATTTAATTGTATATTTGGTTTGGGCAAACGTTGTTTAAGTTATACTGTCCCCTTATACCTTTGTTACTTGTTAGTTTGTAGAAGAATTCATATTTTACGAGGTTTGCATCCTAAGACCTACTTAAAGAACTCGGAAAGTTCTAAATGACTTGCACGGTAAAGTGACAAGTGTGACGTCAGTCCACTGTCTAGACTAAAAACGAATGCATTATTCTAAGCTTGTGCTTGAGGGCACTCTCTACCCAGAATGCAGCACGAACAACATGGAGAAGTCTGGCGAAGCTTTCTTTGCTGTTCTCGGTCGGTCCTGATAAATAATGTTAAACTGCTCTGTTTTGATCTGGTAAGTTGAAATAAAGTGTTTGAGTTGAATAACGTTGCTTTTAAAATCAGAACTGCTTTCACAGTACAATTCCGTGTAATCGTAAACGATGTTTGGGCAAACAGATAGCCCATCATTATGAATGAATGACCCACAACTGTGGTATGCGACTGTCTGAGTTCTTTATGAGCAGACGTGTTAACACGTTACACTTGACGGGTTTGAACGTTCCAAAGACATCTGTCTTTAGATTGCAGGCACAAAGTAGTCTGGCATGGACTGTCTCGCGCACGGAGTGCCCCTTTAAACAGCTGCAGTAGGGGGTTTATCTTGTCCTTGACTTTCGTATTTATGCCCGTAATTCACTCGGCTGAAGCTAGCAGACACTCCCAGCAGACAGTGGAAGCTAGCAGACACGCTAGCAGCCACAGACTATAAGGCATAATAATGCTTTGAATCAAAGTTTATCACATCTTTTTGCATCACGTAATCATAGTTTGACATCAATATATTAATGTAAATGGCTAATATTCATTTAAACAGAGAAATTCTAACAAATGTACTCACTCCCCCTGAAAGTGTATCTCTATGTGCGTGTATATAAACACTATTCCCAATATTTTTTGGGAAATATTGAGTATGCACCTTATCGACTTATATGGTATGAAACATACATGTATTGATTACAATTTGTGATAGGTGACATTTAATAATTAGCAGACAATTTTAAAATATGGAAATCATAATTGTGGTGGAACTGCTCTTTTTGCTAGCAGACACTAATTAAGACACTAATTACAGTAAAAATATTGAGTGTGCACCTTAACCACCTATGTGGTATGGAACATACATGTATTGACTACAGTTTGTGATAGGTGACATTTAATAATTAGCAGACAATTTTAAAATATGGAAATCATAATTGTGGTGGAACTGCTCTTTTTGCTAGCAGACACTAATTAAGACACTAATTACAGTAAAAATATTGAGTGTGCACCTTAACCACTTATGTGGTATGAAACATACATGTGTTGACAACAATTTGTGATAGGTGACATTTAATAATTAGCAGACAATTTTAAAATATGGAAATCATAATTATGGTAGAACTGCCCTATCTATTTGCTTGCAGACACTAATTAAGTCACTAATTACAGTAAAAATATTGAGTGTGCACCTTAACCACTTATGTGGTATGAAACATACATGTATGGACTACAATTTGTGATAGGTGACATTTAATAATTAGCAGACAATTTTAAAATATGGAAATCATAATTATGGTAGAACTGCCCTATCTATTTGCTAGCAGACACTAATTAAGTCACTAATTACAGTAAAAATATTGAGTGTGCACCTTAACCACTTATGTGGTATGAAACATACATGTATGGACTACAATTTGTGATAGGTGACATTTAATAATTAGCAGACAATTTTAAAATATGGAAATCATAATTATGGTAGAACTGCTCTTTTTGCTAGCAGACACTGATTAAGTCACAAATTACAGTA